GGAGCCCCGCAGGTGGGAGCAGGGCGGAGGGTGTGCAGACCGCGAGCTGCGGCGGGAGGAACCCTGACCTCTGAGAGCGGTGGATGGGGTTCTCGTAGACCTGTTGGGGGTGAAACCTGAGCGGAGTCCTGCGCCGCGGGGACTGTGCTCCCAGCCGCCGTGGGGAATTGGAGAGTGGAGGGCGGGAGGAAGGAGGCCTCCGGAGACGCTGGAGGAAAAGGAAGGAAGGTTCTGTGCCTGACTGCACCGAGCACCAGGGCCGTGTGTGGGGGGAAAGTTTGGAGAATGAGGTTAGTGCCGGTTAGGAAGACTCTCAGTGCCCAGCTGGCTATTGCGTGCCAGGGGAGTCCTGAAGCGTCGACTGCATGGAGGTAGGAGGATCACAGGGCTGGGGAGACAGGCGCTGGGGAGGCAGGCGCTGGGGAGGCTGTTGTGACAACCTGGCAGAGGTGACAACACTTGGAACTCGGGTGTGATGGGATTCCGTGAACCCTGTTTATGAAATATTTATAACAGACAGGTGCATACACTCCGGCCATGGTTAGCAGATTAAACCCAAAATTCCTTCCTAGGAGAGAAAGGAAGCCCCCACTGCAGCTCATTTGATCTCATTTGGTCAGGTTTAATGGCTGCCTGAGAACTTTGCGCCCCTGTCCAGGGTGGGGCAAAGGTAGGTTTACAGTTGTCAGCACGCGAAACACAGTTTATTCTTGTATTTTTTAAAATTAATTATTGTGTTTTCCATACGAACAACTGTAAACCTACTTTTGCCCCACCCTGTATAGGTGCGGTGGGTGGTTGGATTGTCGGCCGCACTTGTTCTTCAGAGGTTCCAAACTCTTAGAAAAACCTCTTCAGGGGGAAATCGGAACCCCAAGTGACTGGGAGGAGATTTAATGGGGGAAGTTATTAAGGGATACTCAGTGCCCCAAACATGAATATGGGCATCGGGGAAGCTGAAAGGAGTCCCCTGCTCTTTGTTAATTGTAGAACAGAGTTCCTCTTTTCTACCTGTTCCCCTCAGCTTGTGGGCTTCCCAGCGTCAGACGGCTTAAGTGTTAATTGGCCATTTTGTCTTAACTTCCTGGAGCTGAAAGGAGTCCCCTGCTCTTGGTTAATTGTGGAACAGAGTTCCTCTTTTCTACCTTGTTCCCCTCAGCTTGTGGGCTTCCCAGCGTCAGACTGCTTAAGTGTTAATTGGCCATTTTGTCTTAACTTCCTGAGAAACAGGGGAAAATGTTTTGATTACTGAAGGGGAATGATTTGGTGATTTAAGGTTTTCCCCAGCTCTGGAATTCACTGATTCTGTGACTCAAAAAATGCACTGATGTCCATTTTATGTTGAACCTTAGGAACTTCTGTTTTCTGGGAGGTGAAATGGCTGAATCTTCCCACCAATTTGTTTTGTATTTGTTTGACTCCAGAAAACAGAATTGGACCTCCAGGGATGTCATACAGTAAACTGTAGTTTAGGCCCTAAACTTTAGGGAATTGAGAACTTGGCCAAGGTGGCCGAAGCTGGTTTGTGTATAAACCTAGAAACCTGCCCAGCACTCGATGGAGAGCAAATCCGGAGTGGTGGCACCTGGGAAGAGTGAACTTCGTAAAAGAAATCTTAAGACAGGTCACCTGAACAATGTGTTTACCATCTATTACTACTTACCCGATGAGTCTGCGTCCTCCCCCTTGTTATAATAGTGGTTTTAAAGGGGCTTTGCAGGGGCTTCAATATTAAGAATACTGGATATTAGATTTTTTAAAAATTGTTAACCATTTTCTAAATCTCTTCGGAAATATTTGAACCAGCCAACTAATCCTGCTTCCTTTGGAAAGAAACAGTCCACCCCACCCCCCCACTCCCCCAAACACTGTAACTCTGTGCTGCCAAGGTCGTTAAGTAGGTCAAAAGTTTGGGGGAATTTTCCGCTTTCTTTCACCCCTGCCACCTCCACAAGTTTGCCCAGTGGTAGAGAAGTTAAGACTTCATGTCAGGAAAAAAAGAATTAGTGTGTTTCCCCTAAACAGGGCTCTCTGGGACTGGGTGTTCTGTTGAGAAAGTGAAATGCCCTCCCTTAAGAGGAACTAGGCCCAGGTGAGAGACAGGACTAGGAGAGGCCAGAGACCTTCCGCGGAGCAATCTGGGCCTGCACCTTTGTCACCCAAGGCCCTGGGCAGGGCCCTCCTCTCTTGGCACTGAAACATTCTTCCTCGACCTTGAAACAGGGTCAGTCCTCCCTTCACAGAGGTACTACAGAGAATTAATGAGAGGCTTGTATGAAGTTTGAGCTCATCCAAAGCAAATATTTTAATTCTTGGATGAATGGTAAATTTTGAGATGTTGTGAAATAAAAAAAGAGGTGGACATTATAAATTTTTGTAAAAGCCTCCTTCAAACCCTAAGGCTTTTTTGTTGTTGTTTTTTTCTGGAGTATTTGGGCTTGGTTTATCATCGTGCCTATAATCAAGATCTGCAGACCTGAGGGTAAGTGCTGTTTGTATTTCACATGTAAACCAGTCTGGGTTTCCCCCCACTCTTTTCCCCCTCTTTTAGAATGCCTAGAGTAAATCAGTAAATCGGTAGCCTAGCAGGTTTGGGGCTTTGGACCCAACATCCTTTCAACCCTAAAGGAGTTTGTTATTAAGCTCATCAGAGACAGAAGTAGGTAATAAAGCTCACGAAATGAAGTGAGTAAAATAGCCATTTCTTTAAAATCCCCTATCCTATTTCAATTCACCAATCCTACTGCTCAAATAGAGATTCAAGTGCTTGCTGGTGTTCCCAGAAACTGTACAGAACTGTTATATTCATCTCTTAGACTTTTGGCATTTGTTGGCAAGTATAGTTCTCACTTGAGTGAAATTCTGACAGGAGAGGGAGAGGCTTCTTGTTTTTCTCAGACTGAGCTCAGGCCTTCATGCTCCCCACGCCGGGCCAACGCTTCTAATTGGCTTGGCTATAAAATGGGAGTTAGCAATTAAAAAACAGCAGTATGGAAGCAAGGGGATTGAGCATGAGTTGATTCTCGAGCCTCTAGTCAAAAAAGGTTTACAATGCTTTGGGCACTATATACAAAGGGCTCTTCAGAAGGAAGTGAGCTTGGAATGACTTCTTTTTTGTAGTTTTTAGGAGACATGGAATATTTGTACTGATTTAGGCCTCAAGCAAAGGAGGCAAATGATTTGAATACAGTCTCTGTGGCCAACAAGCCTATGGTATGACTCTGCAGAAAACAAGGGATGATATATATTTTTCTGAACCCTTTCAGTTAGTGGTTTAAGGGAGTGTTGGTAGTTATGGTGAGAGGAGAGTTTGATTTACCTGCATTTACTCTTTGGGGAGTAATGCCTTATTCACAGGTGCCTATCATTAGTTCTCTGATGATTTATGCTAAAGAATCGTTAGTTAGTCCCAAGAGAACTGACCCAGAAAACACATCATTACTGCAAATTATCTGACCACGTGGTCAGTGTTCAAAGAAAGACAGGGATGGGGAACAATGGAACCGCAAAGGTTTGGGGGGAGAAGAATTCCTGGGAAGTGGTACTAGACTTCTGCCACATTAAATTTCCAGTGCGGTCCACAGTACTTTACCAGTCAGTTTCCAGTGTCAGGACCTTGGGCAGGATCATTTGGGGAGAATAAATACTGCCTTCAGCCAAAGATATGATTCACTAAGTGAATTTTTTTTCAGAGGTCAGTAGGCAGGTGGTAGGGCTGGTTTGGGGTAGGGGCCCCTTAAATCCCCTCTCCTGAAACTCCATGTGGCTCTGATACTGGGAAGACAGCAGAGTGAAAAATCTAAGTGTAAAAAAGAAATACGTGCAGTCAGAGTGAAACCACTGGTGTTTTTATATGAAATTTGCCTGGAAGCCTAAGTGGTGGTCAGACTGTATGCTATATTAAATTCTAGTCCTTTCATCAGGGGAGTGACTTCTCTGGTGCTGTGGTATATTGTTCTTTCTGTGTGAGTATGCTCTTGGAAAACTCAGGTTTTAGTTCAGGGTGGATGCAGTAATTTATTTCAGTTCATCAGTACCCCATACTTTGAGCCCCTTGTTTTCCACATATACAGTAGCTCTTTGTGGGTAGTACTAATGACAGAAATCTGAAGATATCATCTGGCATTTGTGTTTTCTAATTTTTGTTGTCCATAGTGCCTGCCCCTTTAAAAATTCTGTGAAAATTGAGAGAAGGAAGGAGGGGAGAGTGAGCTGCCCTGCACTTGTACATGATCTCTTAGGGTGCTGCACATGGTAGGCACCAGTGGTACTCGCTGGTGTACAGTGAAATTCACTCTTGTCCATTAACAGCCATCCTGCAGGGCTGGCTGAGCTGCTGCTTCCTCCATGGGCCAGGAGGGCAAGCTTTCATGGTGGCGCAAAGCCGGGCTGGTTTGGTGTCCGTCAGGAGCCACGAGTGCTTAAATTACCAGCACATTAAGCTGTAGGGGTCTCTTCCTAAGCCATCAAGATTTCCGTTCTCCCAAAAGCCTAATCCGGGCTGGGGTTTGGGGGACCGTGGGGCAGAGACCGTCTTTCAGGGGCTGTGCTGGTGGGGGACCTGGCCTGGGACGGGGCCATGTCAGGCTTGTTGGGAAGGGTGGGCCAGTCCTCTTTCTAATGTGTCCTCTAAACTTGGCAGGGGGCAGAGTTCATCCTTTTTCTCTCTCTCCCTGCTCTAACCTAGCCTTTCATTTCCCCAGCTCACTTTCTGTGTTAGCAGCTTTCTTTCCTTTTCATTTCCCTTGTTCACTGCTGCTTTCTCTTTCAATCCTCCCTCTTGCTGGGCCTCATTTTCTCCCCATTGTCACTTTGAGGCCTGGCTATTTGAAGTTCCAGGGTTACAATGCTGCCCTGCATGTCCCAGTGACTAGGTGTAATTTAGAGGTCCGCAGCCTTTCTTTCTGAGGAGCCAACCTCACTTCCCTGCTGCTTTTAGACAGCATTGGTGGGGTACTGTCCAGAGTCCCTGACCTGAGGCATTGGATGAAGCTGGAGATGCCTCTCCACTGGGGGCCCCAGCAGTGTGGCAAGGGGGCTGTGGTCAGGATTTGCTGGCATGGTCAGCTGTCAGACAAGGGACTGAGGTCTACCCTCGGGAGTCCTTCCAGAAACTGAAGGCAGAAGCAGAATTGGGAGTCCTGTGTTCAGGCGGTCCTGTGGCTTCTGCACAGGACCATACGTGACTAATAAAGACTGGAAAGGGGGCCTTTGGTTACGTTGGCCTGGAACCAATGGGACTATTTGCAGTTGTGGATCTTGCCCTGCAGCTGGGTTTTTCCAGGGGGCGACTGGGACAAACTGCTCTCAGTGGTAGTTGGATGGTTATTGGAAGCATCTAGCAAACTACGGCCCGTTTGAAATGAATAAAACTAAAAAAAAAAAGACCGTACCCTTTTATGTAATGATGTTTACTTTGAATTTATATTAGTTCACACAAACACTCCATCCATGCTTTTGTTCCGGCGGTCCGGTCCAGTTTAAGAACCCATTGTGGCCCTCGAGTCAAAAAGTTTGCCCACCCCTGATCTAGAAGCATGGCTTTCCTGCTCAATGAGTTAAGAAATGAATTTTTTTCTCTTAAAAGCCATGTGGCAGACTTTACTAAAAAATTATTATAGGGGTTTTAACTTCATTATTAAATATGTATAGAAATATATATATAACAAAAGTACAGTTTAATGAATAATTATATTTATTAATATAACTGTAATTTATTCAGGTCTAGAAATAGAATTTTACTTTTTAAACCCAAATGGGATAGTAGAATGTTCTGTGTTGCAATTTGCTTTTTAACTGTGTTGGCACTTTTCCATATCAGCACATGTAATTCTATCTCATTCTTCTTAAGGATCAAATAATAGCAGTTCCATGGTTTGGAAATTCTGTGATTTATTTAATCATTCCCATATTGATGGACCTTTGGGATGTTATATATTATATAAATATGGACGTGTATATTTTACACATGTAATATGCATACTATATAGCTCTGATAAACAAATGCCACAACTAATGTGTGTATGGTATAAAATTCTGTCTATAAAATTGGTGGGGTTTGTTGTTGTTTTTGCATCCTAGCAGTAGTATATATCTGTAGGTTAAATTCCTAAAGACAAAATTGTTGGTTCAAAGAATAGAGTGTTTTCATTTATTTATTTGAAATTTCACTTAAGAATGTGTCTTTGTTGAAGAATTTGTAAGAAAAAAAAATGGACCCTCTATAAAAAGAAGGATGTTTCTTCCAAACATTAGGGAGGAATGGTATACCAGTGCCTGGGCAGCTGAGGGGTAGGCTATTTTATTAGTTGATATTTTCAGGTAACTGATTTTTTTTTAGGGCTGTTTAATGTTTAGATCTTAGATCTTATAGAGCAGCAGGTTCTGAATCCAGCCAGAAGTTCTGTATAGAAAGTTTTATGAAAAAAGATTTTAGCAGATGATGTATTATCCTCTGGTGAAGGAAACTTCTCTGGATTCCCTCAGTGTCTAAGGCTGGAAGAATGCTAAGATGTACATTACCAAGTTTAATATTGGAGGGAAGTGAGATTGATTGGCTATAGCCATACAGGATGGGGCAAAAGTAGGCTTACAGTTGTTCTACTGGAAAATAATACAAGAATTAAAAAATAATAATCCAAGAATAAACCTTCTCATTCTCACAACTGTAAACCTACTTTTGCCCCACCCTGTATTTTCCAATAATGTTAAACTGTGGGTAACTCATATGGGTATGACTTTTCAGACTTCTCCTGATCTGATGTGTCAGGACAAGTGGAGAATGCTTACATTTTTGTATTGTTTTAATGTTGGTGATAATGGCTGAATGGCTGTAGCAAACCATGTTACTAAATAGTTTGTAGACTTTTTAGTTTCATGTAAACTGAGTAATAAAAGCAGTATGTAGTTTTTATATCAAATATTGTTTGTGAGAAAGGAAAATAAAATAAGACAGTCTCTGAACCTTTCCTTACTCCAGGATGGAGCTTCAGAGATAGATGATCCATTATTGTATTTTTTGCCTCCATGTGCATTTTTTAAATATATACTGATTTCAGAGAGGAAGGGAGAAGAGAGAGATAGAAACATCAGTGATGAGAGAGAATCATTGATCAGCTGCCTCCTGCACACCCCCTACTGGGGATCAAGCCTGCAACCCAGGCATGTGCCCTTGACTGGAATCGAACCCAGGACCGTTCAGTCTGCAGGCTGATGCTCTATCCCAGTGGTTCTCAACCTTCTGGCCCTTTAAATACAGTTCCTCATGTTGTGACCCAACCATAAAATTATTTTCGTTGCTACTTCATAACTGTAATTTTGCTACTGTTATGAATTGTAATGTAAATATCTGATATGCAGGATGGTCTTAGGCGATCCCTGTGAAAGGGTCGTTTGACCGCCAAAGGGGTCACGACCCACAGGTTGAGAACTGCTGCTCTATCCACTGAGCCAAACCATCTAGGGCTCCATGTGCATTTTGAT